ATTCTTAAATCATATAAGAAAGATTTGACATAACGTAATTATATATCCACATCACGGAATGGAGTTTTGACGTAATGTAATAAAGTGTTGATATATATAGGATCTCACATGATTTGTAGTATGATACGATTTTTATCCAACGAGTTGTGTGGTTTTTATCCCCGAGACTTGGCGAGGGGATAAAAACACACAACGAGTTGGATAAAAATCATATCTAACTACAAATCATGTGAGATTCTTTTTATCCCATGTTTTATACACCACAAACAATGTTTTGCACTGTTTTTATATAGGACTCCACTTTATTTTACTTCATTACGCTAACGCAAAACCCATTGTGACGTCACTACTGTGGGATACGAAAACGATATCACATGAGCTATATCAACGGGATAAAGGGGTAAACATGGGATAAAATATGGAACGCCAGGACTGTGTCCATAATATATGTTCACATTATGTTATAAACCTTTTAACATCACGTAATAATGCACTGACATAAAGGTAAGATGTTTTCACCTTACAATGTGATGACCTCGGCGTAAAATAAAGATACATTTACATCACGTAATAATGCTTTGTTATTATAGAAATATACACTCACAAAAGGGAATGAACTTTGACTTGACGTAATGATTTTAATCATAGAACACATGTAAAACGAAATTAACTTGACGTAATGCAATTTTGACCTCGCATATTAAAGAAATGAAATAATATAAAGATACATTCATTTCAGGTAATAAAGTTTTAACACAATGTAAACATTTTCACTTCACATAATGAACATTGGACTTCAAGTTATAAAGTGCTATCATAATGGAAGAATGTGTTCACTTCATGTAATGCAGTGTTGACATGATGTAAAGATATTTTTACAACAGCCCATAAAAAAATGACATAACGTAAAGATATGTTCACATCACGTAATGATAGATTGACATAATAAATGCATAGTTTTATGCTATAAGGCAGTGATGGCGTTCCATATTCCTGCATACAAAATGTCCGTTGGATTTACGCATCATTAATGTATAAAATGAAAAATAATACCAAAACAGATGTGATGCCCCCAAATGGGAGAAAATAGATTAACATACATGTAACAGTAAAACAAGAGATGTTAGGAAAACACTTATGCCTTCAACCTTCAAATAATTGAAATTTTTCTGATTCGGTCCATGGGACAAACTCAATCCAAAATGCCTAAATTCTGACCTAGATATTTTTGTGATAAAATTGTTTATCTAAGTATATACAAACTCTGCAATGAAAATGAACATAACCTTCAAAATTTTTTTTCTAAAACCAAGGGGCGATAACCCTATCCAAAACGGCTTAATCGTACCCAAAACAAAACTCGAACTAGATATTCTTATGATAAAACTGTTAACTTAATTCCATCTTTATACGTGCAACCTCTGTAAAAGAAATTATCGAAAACTCCCAAAATAGGATTTTCTCTAAACAGATGGGCGTTGCTCTGTCAAAAATGGCTTGCGAAACAGATATTGACCTAGATATTCATATGCTAAATCCGTGGATACAATATTTCATTCCAATATTTGCAAGCTGCCTGAAGAAAATGAACGGAAACCGATGGTGAACCGACAGACCAACCGACCGACAGCAGCAAAGCAGTGTATCCTCCCTTCTTGGAAGGGGCAGATAGATACTATATGATCTTATCTTTGATTACAGGAGCATAACTATCTGAAAACATAGGTAATCAAAGATTACAAATCTCACCTCGATGAATGTTATCAGTTTAGGTTATGCGAATCTCACATCATATTTTCTTAACAGTTAATTTTTATTCTGAAAACAATAATCAAGCAAGTTCTGTTTAAATAGGTCTTAAAGTTCATTGGGGATTGACCTGTTCCAAAATTTTTAACCTTGTCACTTGTTTGAAGAATGTGGGTCAGATCCAGCATCTGAAGCAAGTTTGGTAGTGTCCATCCCTAGATGTATCAGCAATGCAAGTTTGGTCTAGGTAGAGCTTATAGTTACTTGTAAATGGACCTGCTCCAAAAACTTGAACCTTGTCACTCATCTGGAAAATGTAGGTCAAATCCAGCATCTCTGGTAGTGTCCAACCCTAGCTGCATCATCCATGCAAGTTTGGTCCCGGTAAGGCTTAAAGTCACTTGGGAATAGACCTGCTCCTATATCTTTAATTGGGACGCCGACAGTATAGCATAAGCTCATCTCAACTTCGTCGAGGTGAGCTAAAAATAATTCTGAAGTAAATTTTCCTGAGTGCTTAGACTTTATAACAAATACCTTGATTCTTTGGAATACAAATATACATGACCCTTATAAGTAATTAAATCATTGTGTAAACCGTAAACAAAATATTTTAAACCTCGAAAAGAAAATTTGAAAAAGTTTATCTTTTGTAAGCTCTTTATTTAAAAGAAAAGTCATTCCTTAATGTCAGAGTTCAATGTACACAATATACCCCTGTCTCTCAGTCTCTAAATCACTTATCCAAGGGTCATCTGATCAACTGTTTCTAGCTATGTTTCTGTATCACTTATCCTAGTCTCTCATTCTCTACTTATCCCAGGATCTTCTGACATTCTTCCAGCTTCTGACTCGGGTTTTCCTGTACAATCCTATTTATAGAATATTTCTCAATATTCTGAAGAAAAAATATAATTTTATACGCTATAACAATAACAATTCAGAAAATCTGTCTCTCGCTAAAGGAAACCAGAAGTCTCTGATGAGACTGCAGCTCTACTGGTCTGTACGTATTTGCATAACAAAAAGTGGCACTTGGATTATAAACTTTGCAACAGACAGTCATCGATTTTTGTGTCTTAAAGCTGAACACTTGTCATAAATAGGCACTGTCAGACGGGTATATAAACCGCTCGCTTTCGTTACACCCGATTGCACACTCGAAACTCGTGGCCGACATGTAGTACTCCTATCGTGGACTTAGATTTTTTTACGTTTATTTCTTGTTTTTATGTGCATTTTCTGTTTTTAAATAATGTATTGACCATTATTTTCCATAATACTTTTGTTTTGTTTTGGTATAAGTACGTAAAATTTGATAATTTCATTGATATTGAGTAGCACGCTTTGTAAGATGTACGTCTGCACTAGTCGGATCTCTGTGGTAAAATACATTGGACTGACTAGCAATCTGCTCCTTATATACGAGTTGTAGGGAGAGCGTTGAAGAACGAGAAATATGGCGGACTATGCCTATTTACGAGTAGTGTTCAGCTTTAATGTAATCTAGTCGTGTGTCAAATTACGCAGTATATTGAAATCATGCCAAAACTGTGTGCAGGAATATCAAAATTTCAGAAGTATGTCTAATAGTTTTCCATTAAAACTAGCATAGCATCAACATTCACTAAAAACAAAGATCTATATATTCTTTTGTGCATCATAGTGTAGTCTAATTGTGTGCCAAGTAATACTGAAATCAAATCAAAACTTTTCGATGATAAATGTGTCAAAGGATTACACAAAAATTACTTTTTTTAATAACCATGGCAACACTGCTGACTGTTTATGGAAATCAAAAACTGATGCATTAAATCATGTACCTTAGTGAAGTAAACGTGTGTCAAGGTATAGTGAAATCAGACCAAAACTGTAGGAGGAGTGTTTTGAAAAATTGTTCAGAAAATCTTACTTTTGCATATATATATGTGACAGGTTGTGCCATAGGGAGTTATGGTATAAAATTTGATTACAACTCCAAACCAAAATTTCAGAAGCGGACGAATGACAAAAACCCTACTTTCGCATATACCATACAGTAAATTTGAGAAATCAGGAATTTCCTAAATCATTCAGTAAAAACATGGATTTACTGGTCATTTAAGGAAATACGTGTAAATACTGAATTGCTAGGAAATTCATGTATTTGAACTAGTTTTTACATCATTTTTATTCTAAAATTCATCAAAAATATACGATTTTTAAATGTTGAAATACTCGGTTCTTTTGTTTATTTGAGTCTTACATCTTTAAAATTATGGTACACATGTAACATTGATATGTTTTGCAAACATTAGTTTATTCAAACTTATGAAGCAAAAATAAATTGTTTTTTTTTTTTCTATTTTGAACCATTAAAAATAATATTTATTAACGTATGATAATTATGCTGATATCAATATTGAATGCACTGTGCATCTGTCTTTATTTTATGATTCATAGTTTAAAGTGTCTTACCAAAATGCAGTCAGTAAATATGTGTAAAAAGGATTGAAAAGTTCAGTAAATACGTGTATTTCCTAACTAAAATTAGTAAATTCATGCATTCCCTGAGCAGGATAGGAATTTCATGTATTTCCTAAAATTCAGGAAATACATGAAATTCCTGATTACACATATTTACTGTAACATATATAAAGCTCCTCTGGTCTCTGCCAAGTAGAGCTAAAAAGAAGTTGTGACTCTTCTGGGGGGGAGGGGGGGGGGGGGGGCAAAGGAGGTGTGACAGGTTGTGCCATACTTCGGGGGGGGGGGGGGCAAAGGAGGTGTGACAGGTTGTGCCATAGGGAGTTATGGTTTAAAATTTAATTACAAATCCAAACCAAATCTTCTTAAGATATTCCCGGAAATTGGAGTTTATATACAGTTTTTGAATTGATGACCTTGAGTTTTGACCTCAAAATAAAATAGGATATTTCTTAGGTCAGGGAGTTATTCTGTACAATTTTATTGAACAAGCTCAAAGGATTCTCGAGAGATATGTCATTAGGAAAGTCTTACAGACAGACAGCTGACAGACAGAAAGACATGCAGACTGAAATTATATTCCCCAGGGACATAAAAAAATAAAAGTCACCTTGTCCAATTGAGACTTTTTTTTTTAACAAAATAAATGTGGATGTGCTTGATGTGTATATAAATAAATCAGACAACTGATTTTTATTTTGGTGTAAAAAAAGATTTACAATTATAATAATCTCACACAGAGGTGGTAAATAATATCAGTGTGATAGATTATACATTGCTTAAAGGTCAAGTATCATGAAAATAAAAACGCTCTAAAGGTTGATATATTGTCAATGCCATATATTAAATGAAGATTTTAAAGTTTCCAATTTTTTAATGACACCTACATGCTTGATTTACCTGTTTGAAAACTGACAATTTCTATTATCCCCGACGATGTTACCTCCCCTGTTCATGACGTCATTCGAGACATCAATATCAAAACAAAGATCGACTCACCATATATCATAACGCTCCGATTACGACATGGCTCATTTTATGGAAGATAATGACAGTGACGGTGAAATACCCGAAGTTGATTTGACACTGCATATACAGCCATACATGTTTGAACCTTTGGGTAAAGATCGTTCTACTAATACATGTAATAGTTTGTCAGAAAGTGATCATCATGAATCGCACTCGGAATCGGGAAGGGAATCGCCGACAAGCTCTGAAGACGTCACTAGGGAACCTGTCGAGAGTTGGTATGTAGGTTAGGCCTAATTAATTTATTGTGTTTTTACATGTATATTACGTTTAGCCACAAAAATAAAATGACATGCATCAGGCTCCCGGGCGTACATATTAGGAAACATCTTAAGGTAAAACTGATATCAGTGGTGGCGTCTCCTTATGACTTATGAGTGAAAATTTTAGAGAGGGGTGTTAAATAACATAAAATCAATCAATCAATACAGGAATTTTAAAGTTATGTCTCCTTATTTATTTATTTATTTGCTTGTCAGATTTGTTTGCCTGAACGTTCTATGATACAGTGTTTAACAATTTTTTAACCAGAACCCAAATGCGAGATTTATTATGCCCTCACTTCAGGTGTAATTGTGGAAACTGTGTGGAAATGCCTACTAGCAGGGAAAACAAATGCTGCCGAAACACCAACATAGTAAATGGAAAGGTCGATGAGAAATCTCTCCAATGTATTACTGAGCATGAAGGTTTCATCGTAAATTGTTTAAATCATTATGTGTTGGAGACTTCTTACTATGAATACATACAGGATAATGGCAGACAAAATGAAAGAGAACCCATCCATGAGTAAGTTTCATAGACAGGTCAAGGGAGGGAGGTGTTCCTTCCAAAGGGAATTTCAGCATTGTTGATTACAGGGTTTCCCTAAGACCCAGGGGCCGGAGAATTTTCCTGCATATAATGATGTAATCCTCAGTTACTCTGTAATCCAGTTAAGCCCCTAGCTGTAAGCGGAAGAATCTACACCTTCTATTAAATTATTTTTAGGGTGATTTTCCCCTTAGTTTGGACTTTCAGTAGGGCGTGGCATTCCCGGCGCTACGTAATAGCGAATACTAGTAGATTCTCATCGGTAAAGAAATTAATAACATCAGGAACTTAAAATTGTTGTTGACAACGATGAGACGACTTATACCCCACCTCTGTGCCATTAGAGAACTTTTAATTGGCTATTTACTACACCAGTTGACATTCGGCCGCATTTCTATCATATGTACATTTCAACAGTGAAGGGAAGCTGTGTAAATTTCAGAAGTTAATTAGGTAACGTCGAGAATGCCAGGCTTACTGAAAGTCGAAACTAAGCGTGTAATTGTCCTAAATGTTCCCTGCTAGGTATTTCAATAAATAGGGACAAACCTGTTGAAATATCAAAACAAGGATTTAATTTTACTTTACAATTCACAAAATAATGACAATTAAAAAAAAAGATCAACTCAGTCTCATGGAAAGTCCACTTTTCCTCACAATTTTGTCTTTCCTGTTCAGGTATCATTTTCCTTTTCTTCCGAGTGATATGGCCACCTCTCCCCCTTTTTACTGTCAAAACTTTCAGTCCAAAGTACATGTAATAAATGATTAGTCGAATATTTAAAAAAAAATGTTTGTTTGCCCTTTACCAACCCAGATTTTTTTAACAATGGGCAGGTAGGTAGGAGAAATATTTAATTTTCTCTTCTTAAAATTATAACAAGAAGCATGAGGGTCACAATGCTCGACTGCGTCATTTTCCTCTTGCTGCTCTTCAAAAGGTTGTTTTGAAAAAAATTCCATCTAAATTCCTTTGAAAGAACGTGGGTCCAAACGTCATGTAAAATTTAATCCCCAGTTTTAACCCCAACCTAACACCAGTGTCCCTCTTTGAACAAAATTGAATCCTCAGAATGTGTCGATTTCACATTCTATATTCTCACCAATATCTAAGGAGGTAAGGGCTGCAAGCACTGAATAAACAAAAAAGGTAGTCCATTATATTTATAAGTAAAACTAGTCACTACTAAATTAAGCATCTAAATGACCTCAAAGAACATTTTTAAACTGGGTTGAAATGATTCAACTACCAGGGTAAAAAAAAATTGTAAATGAAAAAAGCAATAAAATATTTTGAGTCGGGCTAATTTCGATAGTTCGGTCAGCTAAGGGCAAACAAACATTTTAATTTAGGCCTAAATAAGTGCACATATAGGATTATGTTGAGCATATCCTCTGCAATATTTCAGACTTTACAGACATCTTGCCTACAGAAGATTTGTTCGGTGGGTTTATCATATTCTTGGGAAGAAGAATAGACGTATTCTACCATCTTGTGTTGTCAGCAAAATCAGACAGACTTTTCCTTCCCAAACCTATTGTGGTTTTAAATATCCAGAATAATGATAGAATTTGGAAATATTATATTTATTCAATAAAATCTGGATCTATGAGTAGCCACAATGTCTTCTTTTCTAGCCCTTCCTTCCATCTGAGCAATTGGTCTCGGTCTTTCTTTCTCATTTATTGCTTTGGCTGCTCTCGCCTCTCCATAAGAATTGTGGACTTCTCTCCTGAAGATGAGGTCTTCAAACAGTTCATTCACATAATCTGTCAATTGAAACAAGCAAGCAACTGGACATTATGCAGGATTTATTATTTCTACAAGACCAGATATAAAACATAGGTAATCAGAGATTACAGAGCTCACCTCAATGAATGTTGTCTTTAAGTAAGGCAAAGTCACACAATTAACCAACAAAAAGTATACATTCCAAAAATGAAAATATTTTTAAAAGCAATTTTGATCTGATACTTTGAAATATACCTACATAAAAAATTTAAACTACTTCTTCTTCATGAAAATGTAATGAAAATCCAGCAACTGATGCAAATTTGAGAGTTTTCATCTCTTGATGCAGCATTTGTGCAAGTTTGGTTTATACAATGTTATATAAGCCTTATAGTTTTTGGTAGTAGACCTGCAACCATAACTTTTACCTTGTCTATTATCTGAAAAATGCATGTCCAATTCAGCATCCGAAGCAAGTCCATTAGTGTGCATCCTTAGATGTATCATCCATGCAAGTTTGCTCATTATAGGACTCATAGTTTATTGGAAATGAAACATGCATCAAAACTAACATTTTCACTCATCAGGGCTCTCACACCACTTTTTGGGACTGGGGCCGGGGCCGTTCAAATTGGGAAAATTATCGTCATTTTGGGAAAAGTTGGATAACACAAATTCATTAAAAAAAAATCCTCAAATTTTGCTTTTCTAGCATTTTATCATCAATGCTAACTCTCAGTCTGGTTTGAATAAACAGTTAAACAGAACAAACATGGGTACGTAGGCTATTTATGAAAGTACATTAGCTTTGTCATTACTATCTCTGAGTGTTGATATTGCGGTTATGTCTTACTGCGTGACAGTTGCTAGTCACATAGTCCCGAATTTCCTCGATCACATGGGCAACTTTGCTTACCAATTACAGCGCGAGACTGAACATGCCGAAGCGCTGTTATGTTTCTAGGTGCAGCTTACTAATGTTTAAATGAAATGTCTATTTTTGAAACCAAAATGCTGGTTTTTGTCAAAACTACATAACAAGATACTCTGCACTCATAGTTGTATATACATTTTTGTAAAAACAATAACCTGGTTGCCCGAACCAGTTTACGAATGCATTTGGCGCGAACTAATAAAATAGTAGTACAGTTTCACTTTCATTTGCAAATGTGTTTTGTTTGTTTTTTTTGCGATTAGGTTTGATGGACTTTTATTTTTTAATTAATATTTTACTCTGGATGGAAGTTGGGAAATTTACACCTTTCTTTTGGGAAAAAAGGTACCTTTTTTGCATTGGGAACGGGGCCGTTGAACGGCCCCAATTTTAGAGAATCGAGAGCCCTGCTCATCCACAAAAAGTAGGTCAGATTCAGCATCCGAAGCAAGCCTGGAAGTATGCATCCTTAGATGTATCATCCATGCAAGTTTGGTCAACATAGGGCTTATAGTTACTTTGAAATGAAACCTGCACCAAAAACATTAACCTGTTCACTCAACCGGAAAATGTAGGTCAGATTCAGCATCTGAAGCAAGCCCGGTAGTATGCATCCTTAGATGTATCATCCATGCAAGTTTGGTCAACATAGGGCTTATAGTTACTTGGAAATGAAACCTACACCAAAAACTTTAACCTGTTCACTCAACCGGAAAATGTAGGTCAGATTCAGCATCCGAAGCAAGCCCGGTAGTATGCATCCTTAGATGTATCATCCATGCAAGTTTGGTCAACATAGGGCTTATAGTTACTTGGAAATGAAACCTACACCAAAAACTTTAACCTGTTCACTCAACTGGAAAATGTAGGTCAGATTCAGCATCCGAAGCAAGCCCGGTAGTATGCATCCTTAGATGTATCATCCATGCAAGTTTGGTCAACATAGGGCTTATAGTTACTTGGAAATGAAACCTACACCAAAAACTTTAACCTGTTCGCTCAACCGTAAAATGTAGGTCAGATTCAGCATCCGAAGCAAGCCCGGTAGTATGCATCCTTAGATGTATCATCCAAGAAAGTTTGGTCAACATAGGGCTTATAGTTACTTGGAAATGAAACCTACACCGAAAACTTTAACCTGTTCACTCAACCGGAAAATGTAGGTCAGATTCAGCATCCGAAGCAAGCCCGGTAGTATGCATCCTTAGATGTATCATCCATGCAAGTTTGGTCAACATAGGGCTTATAGTTACTTGGAAATGAAACCCACACCAAAAACTGCACCAAAAATGTTAACCTGCTCCAAAAACATTAACCTGGTCATTCCTTTGCTGAAATTGCAGCATCTGAAACTCTGTCTGGTACAATAAAACACACTGAAACCATCGTCCATGCATGTCTAATCAGTATAGGACACAGAAGTAATTAAAAAGAAAACTGCTCCAAAAAACTTAACCTTAACCTGGGACGCCGACGCCGACGCCGAGGGTATCACATAAGCTCCCCCCAACTTCGTTGAGGTGAGCTAAAAAGGAATCCTATTTTTCCATGTGAAAAATTAAATCTTATCTCCATCCGAGAAACCCTATTATACCCTGTACAGGTATTTGATACTCCTTGCAAACCAAGGAGTTTTAGTAATTAATATTAAAACTGCATTACCTATTCCGTACATTCCGATGCACTCAAAAATGATTTATTATTGATAGTTTACCGAAGCTTAAAATTTTGGCAATCACCTTCCTTTCAAATACCTCTAGTATCAGTCTATATTAAAAACTTATTTGTAGAAGGCCAACATACAATACTGGTATCTTACAAGGATAACACTTTTTGGCTTGAGAATTTAAATGAAGAGGTATATAACTATATTCATGCACTTACTAAAAGTTTGTTGAATTTTTACTTCTTTGGCAACTCCTTCACCCTTCCTTCCCTTTGGGTATGAAACACTGTATATCATATCACCATCTTGATTTTTTGCCTGCTCCCTGGTTGAATTTTCATTAAAATGCAATGTGGCTAAATATAACCTATAAAAAGTTATAAAAAGTGATTCTGAAAATAATTTTATGAAACTTTTCATATAAAAAAAGAGGCCCATGGGCCACATCACTCACTTGAGCACATTTGCTCTGAAAAGCACAAATCAGTTTAGTATTGAAAAAATACATGTTCAATGGGGGAGGGGGGACTTAAATTTTAGACTTCCTAAAGATGCTTCCACATTAATATAACAAATGGCTTTGATGTTCTTGAATATAAGATTTTTAAACATGTTTTCCTATATATTCCTTTGTAAAAATTTGATCCTCCATTGTGGCCCCTCATTGTGGGGGTTTTGATTTGAACAAATTTGAATCTAGCTGCAGAACTGAGGAGTAAGAATTTTTTTTGAAATCTAGCTTTTTTGCAATTGAGGTAAGAATTTGAAAGAATTAATACAGAACTGTGCACACTTTTTTGTGCACTTTTAATACACATTTTTTCAATTGGTGGCACTGTAGCTATTCAGTCTGTCAATATATTCTTAATCTTCACTACCTGAGGATGATTCCATATCAACATTACCAATCATAGTTTTGCTGTTCTTGAGAAGATTTTTAAAGATTTATTCCTATACATTAGTGATTACCAGTACTATGTAAAACTTACCCCTAGAGTTCATCATTTTAACAAACTTAGTCTACACAACGTAAGGAAAGTTTCACATACATGTATATGTTTCAACTCTTGGTTCAGTGGTTCTTGAAAAAGAGAATTTTGAAACATGCCACCAAATTTTCACTTTTTCTTAATTATCTCCCCTTGAAAAGGGGTGTGGCCTTTCATTTGAGCAAACTTGATTCCCCTTTGTGGCAAGTTTGGTCGAAAAATTGTTCTGGAGAAGTCAAAAATGTGAAAAGTTTACAGACGGATGGACAGCTGGACAGACGGGCTATAGACAAAATGTGATCAGAAAAGGTCACTTGAATTTCAGCTCAGGTGAGCTAAAAAACCTTAGTGTAAATTAAAGGCTTAAGTAATTCATGCAATACACCTCAAAATAAAGCTTTCAATTTTCAAAGTTCCTTAGAGTTAATTACGTACCGTGCTTCCATTTGTGCATGGAAGAAGTGCACAAACTTAGGGGCAAAATGACAGAGCACCTTGTGGAAAGCCTCAAGCCCAGAAGTCTGTTCTGCAGGAGACATTTTTCTGATATCTGTCAAAAGAAGCCGGCCTTTGACAACCTTTTCCAACTCATCGTAAGCTTTGGAACCTAAAAACATTGATATCTTGTCATAAAGGATGTATTTTTGGAGTTCTAATGCTGGAAATATTAAAATAAGGGTGGGGGGCAACAGTCTTTTACAGGAAAAGCTAGTATTTAATTAAGCAGTAAACCACACATATAACAAACTTGTTTATAATGAATTGACACTTACTGCGAAGTGATTTTCATCATATTCATTCCCCTTGACTTTAAAATGTATTAAAAACTTAAACGGATACAAGGAATTACTATATATATATTTAGATATTAAAATATATATAATAACTTATAATAACTCTCTCTCTCTCTCTCTCTCGCTCTCTCTCTCTCTCTCTCTCTCTCTCTCTCTCTCTATATGTATAGATTTATATGTGTGTGTACCTCTACGAATCCAAAGACGGTCTTCAAGATCTCCATGTTCACACCTGGGAAACTCTGCACCATGCCCCTCATGAACATTACACACGTGATTCAAAATAGAACACCACTTCTGGTACACCAACTCACCATCTCCGCCACTACTCATTGCACACCAATAAGTGTGATTGCTGATGGACCTTGCCCAATCTCCAACAATTTCACAGTTTTTCTTCTTGCTCACAGCTTCTAACTTCTTGTAAATTCCTGAGACAAGAATTAATTGATTTTTTCACTAATTTCAATACATAAATATACTATTTTATCATATTTTGAATATTTTCAATGAAATATAATTCATTATTATTCATGACATTGAACACAGATTATTTAACAAGTTTTTATACACTATCAAAATCAGACAGTTTTGTCATTATATGTACACTTTATATCTTGAGGCAGGGCCCAAGTTAGCTTACAAATGAATTTTTACTTTATACATGTTTATATCAAGGTACATGTTTATGTATGTTTTGAAACTCAAAGATACTTGTAAAATAATTTTTTAACATATGATCAGATGTATAGAGTATACATAATTATAAAGGAAAGTTACCTTTAGCAATGTGCCAGCAATCAAACCAATGTATTATTTCTGGATGGGTTTCACGCATGTACTTTTTTATCTGAGAATGGCGGTCAGTAACCAAATGTGAAATCTGTAGATCCTCATCTGCAATTCTGGCAAGCCCTCTTTGTAAACCCTCCAGCTCCATGGCATACGAGTTTCTAACTTCATTTTTCTATGATTAAAAATAAGCATGGTTCATTAAAAGCAACAACAAAAAAAATTAAATTCTGTCTCATAGTTCAATTTTACTTCAAGAAAATTAAGAAATATCTATTTAAAACATAATGTCAAAATAATAATTTCAAATTAAGCATTTTTTCATTGTTTTGATAGTTTGTAATTACCTGCACAAGCTGTGTATCCAGGATTTTGTTTGTCTTCAGATCCATCAAAGTGTATGAAAGATATTTGGCTGTGTGGCCAGGTGAGCAACACCGTCCATCTCCACCCAGCCTCAAAGGTTCTCCAGACTCCTGTGCTGCTGTAAAGAGATGTAACTGCTCTCTTTGCCAAACATCTTCTATAGTTGGGACTAAATACAATGACTGAATTTTCATGTATGTTCCAATGCTGAACATCTGAACTGAAGCATGTCTACACAATGTTAAGAATTTGTGAGCACTGCCCCCAGAAAATAACACAGCTCCTGCAATGATTAAATTACCAAGGGGCATAGCACTAGATGTAGGCTGACTTTCCCATTTTTTCTGAGCACTGCAGTTTTCACATAAACTCTTAATGCTAATGTATGAGCCTATGATAGTCTTTCTTAATGTACATTGGCATCCACAATTGTAGCAAGATGTAAATAATTGATCTAAGCAGGATTCAAAAACTATAAACTTTCTTTCCTTAGCAGGGTTAATGTCTTGTTCAGAATCGTGCTCCTCATTCTCACTTTCCGGAACCCAGTCTGAGTCTGTGTCATTGTCATCCCCTTCATCTGTGGATGTCAGGAAGCTGTTGTCAAGATATTCAGATATTCTCTCTTCAGTCTGAGTTCCTGTAGAAACCTTTTCCACATCAGGAGGAGATAAAATGTTTATTTCTGTTTGTAGTTTTACATGGCGTCGCTTCTAAAATAAACCCAAAGAATCAAATTAATGGAATGGGGAAGTGCAACAAACATTTGATCTTGTACAGTATATCAATCATGTCATGTTATTCTCATTAATAGGTTTACTGGTTATATTGATATGAAGATATTGGTATGATTATAATGAAAAATTAAGTAAATGTGGTATATGTATATAACATGCACATCATAAGAAATATCAAAAACTCAAATCATAATTTTTTACCCCTTTTGAACCAGACCTCCCCTTTTTAAAAGGAGCAGCCATAAACATTTAAGTAAACTTACAACTACATCATATGTTGTCTGGGACATTGTGGAATAGCACTGAACATGTTGAACATTTGTTTCTTTAAAATTTGCTGGACAGACTGTGTCACCTGATCTTTGATCATCTTGTGGTTGTGGTAATTCATCATTGTCAATATCACTGGCATCTAAAATCTGCAATGCATCAATACTCATCTATATTTAGCGCAAGCAATTAAATAATCCAAAAATATACATTGGTGCATTATACAGTGACCGATCCAGGAATCTTGAAAAAAAGGGGGTACTAGTCTGGGGTTAGGGTAGATAGAATGTTCTATCGTTAAAATGATAAATGTCCTAAGGACCCAGATTAACTTGATACTTTAAGGGGCATATTGTCACACCAAAATAAAATTTGATATATTTTGCACATGGGGGGGGGGGGGGGGCTGAACCTCCATTTAAATCTGCCGCCCCTCTAAATGCGCCAGTGCATTATACATGTACATGTTATAACATATGTGTTAAAATACACGTTACCTTGTTTATATACACATAGATATTCGTGATATGATTCGCCACTCTTGTGATAAAAATACATTCGTGATCAAAATAAATGACTAGGAATGCATATGCCTAAACAAAAATAATTATTATTGACCACCGTCCGTTAACATTTTGTTAATCAGTTCCGAATATTAACTTAAACTATTAACATTGTTACCATGTTTACGTTTTGAAGATGTGCATATGTTGGTCGAATTTCCTCTACTTGTTTTATCAATATTTGAAAATTGAAGTCACCGGTCACCCTAAATAACCAGATTTCTATATTGCAAAATATTAAAATGTTTTAAATAGTGGTTTTCAAAATTATTTTCTTACGTTATAGCGTCTTCTTTTGGTGATTTTCGCAAGGGCATCTGACTTGGAACGACCAACCATGCTAACGTCTGGCCTGTCAATGTCATGTTGCTGAGACGTGGGGCTAGCTGATCTTTTAACCGATAGCCTTTTTTCTTTGGGATCCGTGTAATCGAATAGAGATGGCACAGCTCCTGATTTCAAGATCTTGTTTTTTAACTGAAACTTTACGTTGTTTGCAATGTCAGGATTTATCGAGAATTGATCTTTGTCAAAATGTCGTTCACAAAGTTTACTGTATTGAGTAGGATGAAAACCGTCTCTTCTCAATTTGAGAGTCCAAATTTTTCTAAATTTGGGATCTTTCGGAAACAAATACAGGCTAATTCCCTGGCCAGATTTTATTGTGCAGTTAAGTGCGGCACACTGCACCATATTTTCACAAAATTGACAAGAACTTATCTCTCGCTCATTACCCTCTTCAGCGTCCTTTGGGCGAGTGTCTCGAATGACGTCATTTTCTCGAAGGGAGATAACTTGTTTGTAAAGAGATTGGTTACGGTGCAGGTGTATATTTAATACCAGTTTAAATGGTTTATTGCTGTTAATAAAGCAAATTATAATCCAGCATTTTATTTTGGTAATATTTGCGAAGTGTTTAAACCAGAAAAACTTAGATTTTCATATATCTTTCTACTTGACCTTTAAT